TATATATATATATATTCATTGTATAAAAAAGGGGGAAGAAAACATTTAACATTTTAATTAAAACCAGGGTTCCAGAATCAATTTTCAGGGTTCTCTATTACCAGATATGACATCCCTTTTAATTGATTTCACTAGATACTCAATCTGCAGAATGGCAGCTGGTTTTCTAGAAAAAAATGATCAAAATGATCAAACAAATCATAAAACGGAACACCTCTGATCTTATCTATAATGAAAAAAGACAAATGATTGGCTATGCTACTAAGGGCAACACCCCCCTTTTCTACTGTTCTAGTGTTGCAGGTCTAGAACTGGTTTTTGGTGTATATGCTTTCAGGTTCTGCCTGGGTATCCTATTCATTATTGCCCTATTACTTATGCTGGGTTTATTATACATACAGTAGATTTTTTCTGCTCTCCTCCTGGTAGTGTTATTCTCTGGTGTAAGATCAGGTAGCTCTTGAACCTCAGCAGAAATCAGGAGCAGTTATGTGTCAAATGAATGCATGCGATGAATTTCACAACACTAACAGAGGCTAATTATTTATTTAGTAGACAGAAGGGACATAATTGTTATACATTTATGCATGGCATGCATGAAAGATTAATTCTGATGAAAAAAAATCTCTTATTTCATAAAATGCATACCCGTTTTCTCATAATTTATAATAATTAACCCATTCATTGTCCTGGAATAATAGAAGACATAACTGTGACAATAACAGGCTCCCTGGATGATATGATTAGAGTTAAGCCCTGGCACCAGCCTTTGCTATATGTAACTTCATAATAATGCTAATAGCTCATGACTTAGACATGATAGCAGTGCAGAGTTGAAGGTCACAATAAGAATTCATATGGGACAGTAGAAATCCTGTATATCTTAGAGCATATGTGATTTATAGCTCTAAGCCAACATCAACATGATCAAAAGGTTAAAGTGTCTGCAATGAATTTAAATATTGTAGATGTATGGCACTGATTAGTATAGAGTTGTCTTCCTTCATTAAAAGTAAAAAGAAAAAAAATGTTAATTTCATATATCTCTCTGCTTTCTCTTCATGTTTTGTGAGACACTTGTCATCACTAATGTTTGCACATACAGATATTGGGACCCATTTCTCCCACGGTGGTATGTAAATTAAGTCTTATTATCTGATTGGAGAAAAATACTCCTCCTTTTAGGAAAAAGGGCACTAATTGCTGGTTGGAAGAGACGATTCTGTGTAGGGTGTCGGAGAGATAGCACCTTTATAATGGTGACAGCTACAGATAGGCCCATCATGCAATCCCTTTATGGAGTTGCAGTTCTGGTGGCAACAGTGGGTCATGGACGTATTTCCTGAGGGATTTAATACTTTTGATGTATAAAAAGACAATGACTTTGCTAAGCCCTGATTCTGCTTGGAAAATTAAACTAAAACATTGCAGGAAAGTGAGACAGGGAAGTTCTAGCTAGAGACTGTACTAACTAGAGACAAAACAAGAGGGGGGGGGGCAAAGGACAATAAATAAGACAAAAAGTCAGGTTGTTGTAGCAGCAAATAGAATGTATTTTGCCTTCTAACAGTTGCTGCATAAGGATGTGAATCACATAGAGAGATTCTACTGATTTTTTTTTATAACAGACTTCATTACAGATACAAGTCTGCCTGTGAAGGCTGAGCAGTATTTTTTAGAAAGGGATTTGTAATGAGTCTGTATGCACTGAATAATACAAAGAGCAGACAGGAAAGAGGCAGAGGAGTGAGTAGGTGTGCAAGTCAGGTAAACACAACACATGTACAGCTTTTACTCATCCTACTTATTATAGTCTAGGCACAGCTATACTGATGCTTAGCAGTATTTTGTAAAATTACAAACCAGGTTACACAATCACTTATCTTATTTAGCCGTGATTTTTAGCTTGTCTGTCTGCAGATGTGTATCTAGTACAAATACAGCCACCAACATATTTATGTAAGTGTTGTCTCTCCCTAAAGCTTATATTACACACAGCAGTTCCAACATTATCACAGAAATACTTGATGCGTAAGTTAACATTGTGACGGACCCCCGTACTCAGGATGAGTATGTCCGCCGCTGTCTTCTTCCTTGCTGAGGAGATATTGGAACCTGAAGATCCTTAGATCCCAGTTTCCCCAGTCACTAGCCAAGGCTCAGTGTAGGTGAAACAAACTCTGCTTTATTGAACAACTGCACAAACTTTTATACAGCAAGTGATGAAATCAGAATATAATCCCATCACATCCACCTCCCCTCCTCCCAGACCATCGGTCTGCACAACACCACAGGTGTCCACCTGCTAACGAACTCCAGACAGCCATAGCAGAAGCCTGGCCAAAATGTCATTGTTCTGAGCTCCCTCAGAGTACAATGGGAGATAACGAGGGATGGGGCTGATAGTCTTTCCATAACCAGGTCACACAGCATAACGCACTCAAACATAACTCAATACCAATACACATTTAACTTAACCAATACACAAAAACTGATCACCATGTCGTCACAAACATGACTGGTATAATTACTTAAATAATAAATATGTTCTTTTAAGGATTCCAACCTTCCCTACTGAAGCCATTATAATGGGTCATCCTCCTCTTTTCAGCTGTATGTGACTTAACCAAATAACCACAGAGATGCTGACAGCAATCGTAACACCTGATTATTGAGCTTCTCCCAGAGCAGAGCTATAAACATTTTTTTTTCAATCACATCTCAATCTGAAAGGATGAAGCTGAATTACTGTGTATGGGGAAGGCAGGCATTGGGTCATGTCTTGTGCTAATATTTGGGTTCTGCTGTGTTGGAGTGAGGTCATAATCATTACTGGATGAGCATAGGCATATAAAACACACTAGCCAACATTTGTACAAACATAACCCCCTCTATGTTTATTACATACATATACCGACATAAATATACACAATGGGGGGGGAATGTATCAAAACTGGAGCAGACAGAACCTGGAGCAGTTGTGCATGGCAACCAATCAGCATCTCTCTAGCTCAGTTTGCTTAGGTAAAATTTGAAAATGAGGCAGGGAAGCTGATTGGTTGCAGTGCAAATCTGCTCCAGTTTTGATCAATCCCCCCCTATGAATATTAACTAAGGATGAACTTTGGGTTTGGGGCGATTATGACTTTGACCTGAAACCAAGTCATTTGCAGTTCGAGAAAATGCAAACTAATAGGGCCATTTATGTCTATACCAGTCAGCCAATAATGCACTTCCACTTCCTGTCCTCTGAACTGTGGTCAGGTGGCTTAGAAGGGCCAATCATGGGAGTTTTCTTATGTTCCAGCCATCTCCCTATAACAGTCAGGTTTCCTAACATCATTTTGTCAGTGTGTTTTGGAGGAGGCATGAAACAAACAGGTAGGGATCACAGAGAGGGGAATTTATCAAAACTGGAGCAAACAGACTTTGGAGCAGTTTTCGGTTGCTAATAGAAAACACGCTAGGCAGCAGAATAGAACTTAACC